CTTCTTGCATTGGATGCAAAAAGCGGTCATCCGATTGGCCCAGATCTGCCACTCTGTCTAATGTGAAGTTATACTCCTAAAAGAAAGAATGATTGAAAACCAGGAGTACGTTTCTGTTCGCGCATCCTTGTCTACGCTCCTTGATACGTTTGCCAATACAAGTGGCACTACCATGGTTAAATTTTGTCCAGGGAACAATGCAAGATTTTTGACCGATCCATGGAGAGTCCTTTGGAAACATGGGTGGTTGGTGAATTGTAACTTCCAGTCACAGGCCACTTGTTCAGTTGGCTGAAGTAGAATCAATAGTATTAATAGTACTAGTCTGGGTAGTATTACTAATGGGATTCGGCGTAGTAAGGGGAGAAGGAAGCGAGTGGGAGAAGACAAGCGTCAAGCTGAAGCGTCACCTATCTTACTTGTGGCAATATTAGTACCATGATTAGCAAAAACCCAAACACTTTTGATAGCAGCGGAAGCAGCAATAGCGGATGTCATTTCCTCTGTATTTTTTTCCAAAAAAGACGGAAATATGATCAACTCAGATGCAACAGTGAAGCTGACAATTTTGTTTTCTTTTATGCTCTGCCCCTCGGACGATTCGATGTCAACTGGTAACTGTGTGCACATCAAAACCCACACAAACATATATATATCTACACACCAACTAATTTCGTTTGTGCATTCACCTGTCCTCGTTCAACCACCGTTTTCGCCCTTACCCAAACCTTCACCCTTCCCCTCCCCCTCCCCACCGCTTGATCGAAATTCTGTTGTTTTGTTGACCGGGATGGTGTTTATTTTTCCCATAACCTCTTGCCAACCACGTACCATCGGGAAATTATTCCCCGCTCCCACCCCCCACATGCAGGGTTTCCACAGTGCACAGTTAAAGTCGTTCAGTGAACGTCTGGGAAAGCCGTTACATGTAAGCCCCTTAACCGGCTCAGTGGTGATCAGGTTGGATGTGTTTTGCTTTTAAAGCTTCTTACTGATCACAAGGCAGGCCGTTCCTGGTGAGTCAATTTCCAGTGAGGTAGTCCTGCTAACTTTGCATTACTTTTATCCTGACTTGGTGGTGGCACTCTACGTAAAAGACCATTCGTTCGATTACGGTTTCGATGTAGACGCTTTAATGGGCATCCTTGCGGTCTCAACTTCACATTATGCACAAGTTTACACTCACTACTTTTAACTGATAAACAGCAATTAATTATAAAGTAAAGCCACAACACTATGCTGTTGTCCTGATACCTCTCTGGGCCTACTGCAGCTGCGATAAACCATCGTTGCGCCAATAGGAAACGTAGCTCCTGACACCTAATCGGTTCCACCTGCCAAACATTAACTAGAACGCCCCAACATGTTTTTTGTTATTGCTGTTGGCAAGGGACGAAGAACACAGTTT